TTAGGTAATTTACCGAACGACCAAAAAGATTTCGGGTAATGAGCAGGTGTCCCAGAAATTATGATAATAGCTGTAATTAATATATCATTTGACCAACTGGGTCAGAGACCGTTCGGCCAAATACCACTTATCTAACCAACCCTTATGTATATAACGTAAAGTATATTTTGATATATAATATAGAATTCGCGTAAGTCAGATCAGATCTATCTAATTAAATATTATAGAAATGATCACTATTATTACCGTTGAAGCCAATGTTGAAGCGGCTAACTCTGTTGAACCCTAGTCAAAATTTAACCTTGATTAGGTCAATTGTTTACTGAAGATTCGTTATTTAATTATAATACGATACCACGCGGCCTAACGCTAATACACTAACAGTCTGTAGTGAAGTTTGTAACAGATATGTCAAAGAAGCGGGAATTGCTTTCCGGGTAATATACCCTCTTTCCGTCCATTCACTGATATCTTCATGTAATAACAGTTCACTTATGATATTATCTTCGGTAACGCTATTGTTCTCATATTGAGGTGTTGCTTCCGTAGAACTAGCATTATCAAAATTTTCCTTGTCTTTTGATGTAGATGACATTATTATTTTTAAATATCATAAATATCATTTTTAACTGATTAATAAATTTCGAGAAACGAATAAGCCGGAACTTTAATATAAACATAGGTTGTTTATTTGTCATAAACAACGCGACGCCGCTGTCGAAAGCTAAGCACCTGATGACTCTAAAAATCTTTTTTTTATGCAGTTTATAGCATTCTTCGTGAGACCATAGCAGCTAATTCATGTAATAAAACTGGAATAAAGGATTAAGCCAACTTGTGGCTTCCATTATCATACTTCAATAATTTCCGATGAATTCGTCCGAATCTTGCAGCTTTTATATGATAATTTTTCTAGTAAGACCAAAGGTGTATTGTAAACGGTATAAAAGATTGTAATCACGAACAAATATTGCTGTTAATGGCTAAAGAAAACTAGTTTGCAACTATGGTAATGGTAATAATAGCAAACAGTAACATAGCCTAAAACTTTTTTTAGCATAAAACAAACTTTACATGATGTAGTGCCTATACTTGCCGCTCAAATCCCAAACTATTATAGTTTGGGTTTGTCCACGTTCAAATCCCAAACTCAAGCCCAAACCAATATTTCAAAAACTTTAAATAACTTTTATTTAAATAAATGATATATATTCTTATAGTTATATATATTATTTTTTATTTTAATCTTTAATAAAAGCAATTTGCTTAGGTTTTGCCAGCAAGTATAGTAGTGACTTTTTTTTTGAAACACAGTCTTTTTTGAATAATGGAAGCATATGGGGTGAGTCAGTAGAAACGCACCAAATTTTTTCTAAGTAAATTTTTTTAAATCTTTGAACAAAAATAACTCAGCAATAATTTAAGCAAATTTAATAAATTTTTTTTTAAAATTAATTCTATATACTTGTAGAATTTATTTTTAAAAAATTGAATTAATTTAGTTAAGCTTTTGTTGAGTTATTTTTTTTGTTTAAAGATTCAAAAAAATTTCATTAAAAAAGATTTGGTGCATTTTTACTAACTCACCCCATATGTTTCAAGCAGATTTAACCCGGTTTTTAATCACAAATCAAGGCACAAGACAATACTTTAATAAAGCAAAAGAATGGATTAATAAAAAAGAAAAAAATAGTAATTTAGATAATAAAAATAGAAATAGTTTAAAAAATAAAACAGAATAGTAAGTAATTCTTTTTTTTTTTATAACTTGGCAATTCTGCCTCTGTTTATTTGAGATTAAGCTATTTAAGAATTATATATTTTTATCTGTAGCTATTGCTAATTTAACCAAACTAGAGACTTACCCCCGGCTTTCGCCCAGGTGCGACCTGCTTTAGTAGTTCTTGGCCTCCCTTCAGATCCTTAACTTACTAAGGATTTATTTCCTTTTGGTCATTGGCTGGTAACTACCCATCTTGTCAGTACTACCTAATTATAATTATATTTCACAACATAATTGCGC